ATTTTATTCCTTTCCTTTTCGGGAATGTGGGTTTCATAACTTAAATTTGTACAGCTCCAAAGCAAAAGCATAACCACGTTTGTGAATTTATAAATTATTAACTTATGATTGACTTACAGTGTCCCTTGTTCAGAACCCCGGACCTTTATTAATCTTTCTTTTCGCTTCATTACAGCCAAACTTAGAGTATTGACTCCTTAATCTAAAAAAAAAAATATACTCTGTCCCCTTCTCAACAAATGTTTCATAATTTCAAGATATAGTTCTGGATTTTGGATTACCGAAACTTTAAAATTCTATAAAGTTAAGCTATTACTGTTTTGAATCCTTTAACATTTATGCATTGATGCTCGCTATGATCTATACATGCACTCTTCACTTCTCCTTTTTTGGTTTAACGTATTAAAGTAAATGAGAGTATTGCCCTTTTCTGTAACACCCGGTTACTGTCTCAAAATCGGGAAAGGACCAGCTGGGTATTTTCTCAAAATCTGGAAGGGACCTAATTTAAAGCAGTTCGATATTTCAAACGAAATAGTATGTCATATTGTTTTGTTTTTTTTTTGTATAATTGTATTTATTTATTTTTGCCTCATTTCAATACCACTAATAATATTTAATTCTACTTATTTTATTCTGTTATTTTTGACACCGTATATCTATCCATAAATAAAACGATATAATAATAAAAAGGAACTGATCATTACACATTTTTAGAGAGACTACCTTTGGAACAGCTTTTCATTTTTGGAATACGCAATTGCATACCATTTTAATTGTTGGCACATTTCAAGAAATTGAGAAAACCGTGAATCAAACAGATAATTTGTAACGCAGCTCGCTGTAAGTAGGAAAATGTTGCACAAAAAAAATCCACTGCAACGTTTTGTTTTCATCAACTGACAAGGCAAATCCACGTACACGATAAACAAACTATAAACACCCCTCCAGAATTGCCATAAAACACGACAGTATATGTCAAAAGCCTTTAAGGAGGGAAAATTGTTCGTTAATTGAACTAGCTCTTAAAACATACCGCGCAAAATAAAACACAATATCCGGTTCGAAAAAATGTATTGGGAATTCTCCACATTATGTTCTTTTTTTTTTATAAAACTCTGCAATTCATAACACCTTTGAAATGTCCGGACACCCCCAATGTTGGTTTGTTTTAAGTATTAACGACAGATAATTACTTCTTTTTTTTATTAAAATTAAAACATAAATTGACAGTTAAAATACTCATGTATAATTGTCTTGAGGTACATACCCTTATCATTTGATAAATGAATGAGATCTGCTTTCTAGTGCAGTGCTGTCCCAGTCTTTGAACAATGTGAGGCAGTGTATTTGAAGTAACTCTACAAAAACTAGACCAAGTTCGCGTTAGTCATGTCAGTTGAAAATAAATTCCTTGTGCGGTGACGACAAGTTGGGATTTATTTTTATTTCATTGTATTTATTTTTTTGGGGGGTGGAACGGGGAGGTTTCTGCCTGATTAAACGAACTAAATGTTTTCTCATTAACACATATAAGTCACGTCGTATATCTGCAACTAGGGCTAAAAGAGGGATAATTAATGGAATACATTCGAATGAAGACAACATAATCAATATTCAATACAATGGAAATATAAAGATAATCCACTCGAAAAATTCAATGTGTGGATCAGATCGCACATTCCTATTTTTTAATTTTAAAAAACGTTTAAAGTTTAGTTGACTGGTGGACATGATTTTCCATGTACCAGGGACCTTGCCAGATTGATAAATGATGCATATTGTTTTATTTGATTTTAAATATGAATGTCGTAAAATATTTTATGTTATAATGTAAACATTCCATAGGACTCAATTAACTATTTTAATTTTTTTTTAAACTTTAAAAAAAAATTTCAATGAATTTTACAAAGAAATTTCAGTAGCTGTCATAATCCAACATTAAAAAAAATGTTAAAAGAAAAAAATGAGAGTACGAAAGTGCGGATGTCATACTCTTATACACAAAACTAACAATTTTTTAAAAGTAACTTTAAACGAAACTTATAACATAGAAGCATTTCGAGTAGGTTTTATGTTTCTTGGCCCATATTGTGCGGGCCAGGAGTAATGCTAACGGGCTGGTTCCAGTTCATTGACAACCATTTTGAGGAAAAAGTGAAGTAAGTGAAAGTGAAGGTTCGAATCAATTTAATTTTTTTGTAATTTTAAATATAATAATGAACCTATAAGTTGAGGGTTTGAATCAATTCAATTATTTATTGTTTTAAATATAAAAATAAACCTATAAGATTGTATTGGCTTAGGCTACATATAAATTGTGTGTTGTTTTTTTTTAATTAAATATTTTTTTTTGTATGAAGCCTAACCTAAAAATAAGCTTGCCTGGAGATGTCTTGGCTTGAAATATTTCTACATGGTTTTAACGCGAGCATGACAGAATAAAGATTTCACTTTTTTTCAAGGAACCTTCTTGAGCAGTGGTGCCCTCTCTGCGAATGTCACTAATGATAACCTGTTTATATCGTTTTTTGGCATATTGGAATAGGGACAACAAAGGTGTACCACCTTCCCTTCAATCGCTTGTTGCGTAAAGATTTGCTGTTGATTGTGTCATTATAATACATCTTTTAGCGAGAGGTTGATGGGGATTTTCGCCTCAATGTCACTTTTAGTTCTAGATCTATATGTTTCAAAGGGTAACCAGACAAAACGACAAAAGACAAAACGAAAAGTGATAAAATTACAAGAAATCGCATTGGTTCGCGGGCCGAATCTGTCATTGTAGGCGAAGGTGGCTTTGTTTGCAGTATTCAAAATCACTATGTACTTTCCTTTCCTTTTTTTAAAAAACGACAGCAGTTAACTCTTATCAGCAACCAAACACAACTAGTTCCATGTGTTCTTTTACACCGTGCAGTGTGTTATGTATGTTAACCATCTTAGTGTAATCAAGTGCAGACAGCCCAGGACAAAGCCAGGTGGAGATCAGCTGTCAAGAAGGGGGGGGGGGGGGGCCCGATCAAAAGGATTCAGTAGTATAGCCACAGCCGAGATTCGCATGCTAGCCCGAAAGAGCAACCTTAGATCACGGACTACAGCAGCTATCCCCTGCCCGCGGTGCAAGAGATTATTCCAAGCAGCGATCGTACTAGCAAGCCACCTACGCAATCACAGTGACCACCCCTTCCAAACTGTGTGACTAGATGGTCCTTGTTGATGTTGACGGACGCACAACGTATCAAGTGGGCTTAAAGACATTTGAAAAAAGAGGAGGTACTTATTTCATATGATGTAGATAAAAATGATACGTTTTTGTTTTGAAAACGATATATATTAAACGCTAAGTAGTCAATTTGCTAACAAAAATTGTTTATGCTAGGGCTTAACGTGGGCCAGTTTTTTTTTTACTCTGTGTCTCAATATTTTTAGAAAATACCAGGTAGGTCCAAGTGTTAAAAAAAAAAAAAAAAATTAATTCTCATTTTCTATACTATATGCCAGCCTTTAAACACCAGTTCTACTGTCCGTCCAAAAACCATACATGACAGCTGTTGAGCAATAGGCTTACAGAAATTTATACACCCTACCTGTGGTATTAAAATATATTCCTCCAGAAATCCTACAGACAGTCCTACTCCATACTCTTTATTGTTTAATATAATAATGGCCTCCGAAAAAAACAAAAACCTTCTTACCTGATCTCCACCGTCAAGCATTAAGCTCACTGCTCTACAGTTCCTATATTATTAAAATATGCATTAATAATGAATGATAAACTGATGAACTAAATTTTCAGGTTCAAACTCATATTTTGTACCGTTTAAAATCATTTTTTAAAAAAATAATTATTTATTTTCTCTTATTTGAAGGGGGCATAATTAAACGTACTGTTCGTTTCGCTATGCATAAGGCGTCGTTCAAGGGAGCTAACGAAACCATACTGGCATTACTCAATCAAGGCCATGCTGTCGATCTCAGAGATACGGATGGTTGGACTGCTCTTATGTACGCAACTGAGAGGGGCCACCCTTCGTGTGCTGAAGTACTTCTTTTACACGGGGCAGATGTTAATAAGCGAGAACGCGACGGCTGGACACCGTTGATGATGGCGTCACAAAATGGACACCTAGAGACTGTCAAGCTGCTTTTGAAACATGGTGCCATGGATACGGATTTACATTATTTCAATGGCTGTCCAGCTCTAGTGATCGCTGCACAGAATGGATTCACAGAAATTACAGAAGTTATCTTACAATCTTCCAAGATTACGAGCAGTTACGTAAACAGATATAGAGTGGCTCTGATGCTAGCGTCACAAAATGGTCACGTGGAAACTGTAAGCTTCTTGCTTTGCAGTGATTTTTTAAAAGATATCTATGGCTCTGATGTCAAATCATATTCCTTAATTTTGGCGCTTGAACATGGTCACGGCGCCATAGCTGATTTGCTACTTGAAAACGGTGCTCGTGTTAGTAAAATACAGCATCTTTATGAAATATATTTGGCAATACGTGATCACACTGAATATTTTGTGAAGAGAAATGGGAAATTGGTTTATACGTGTTACGTCGCAAGAGCCCATAGCTGTACATCTGAATACTTCAGCCGAGGGGCACGTACTGCCTTGTCGATAGCGTCTCACAAAGGAAGCAAGGATATTCTCAGAACATTAATTGAGCACGGGGCTGACATGGAGGAGGAAGATGAAAGGGGTTTCACCGCACTCATGATTGCTGTGGAGAATGAACACGTCAACGTTGCGGAGGTCCTGGTTGGTCTAGGAGCAGATGTCAATCACGTTGGTAAATATGGACATACCGCTTTGCTGGAAGCTGCCTGTCACAGCACTCCGCGGATCTTAGAAATGCTATTAAATCACAAGGCGGACATCGATGCTGTATCGGAAGACATGTCAACTGCGCTCATGTTGGCAACACACCATGGCCATTGCCACTCCGAGGACATCTTGCTGAGGAATGGCGCAGATTTCAGCTTGCATGTGGACGGCCTTAATGATTGCGTCTCTTCGGGGTCACTTTGCGATAGCTGGAAAGTTGATCGAGTATAATTCTGGTGTTAATGAAGTCCAAATTGATGGGTGGTCATCTCTTATGTTGGCCTCACAAAATGGTCATTTTGCTATTGCCGATTTGTTACTTAAACACGGCGCTGAAGCTAATCACGAAGAAAGAGAAAAATGGACCTCACTTTTGATAGCTTCATTTGAAAACTTTTCTGATCTTGTTGAACTGTTGATACAAATTGGAGTGAATGTTGATCACACAAATATCAATGGTTGGACTTCACTCATGCTTGCAGCCAGCAAAGGAAACCTAGCCACCGTGGAACGTTTGATGATGTACAGCCCACAAATTAACCTGCGCAACAACGATGGGGAGAATGCCTTAATGATAGCATCTAAAGCTGGTCACGAGGATGTTGTCAGATGCTTATTGCTGTGCCAGGCGGACGTTAATCTCACCAACGACAAATGGGAGATGGCTCTCATTTTAGCGACCTCTAAGGAACACTCTGGGATCGTTGAATTGCTGTGTCAAAATAAAGCAGAAGTCAACTATAAATCCACGCGAGGCTGTCCACAGGCTGACAGGTGAGAATTAGTATGGTTACGATCTAGTAAGAATGTGTTTATAAACCTTGTAAATATTATGTATGTTTTAAACAACCGGTAATAGCAAGCAGTAAATAAATCAAGTGACAAAATCGTAACATAGTCAGTAAATAGGTTGGTCTGTAAACAGGATGGTTTAATAAATCTGTTATTTGTATACAACATACATCCTCTCTATCGGATGAAGGGTGTGTACCAGGCTGCAGTATCTCAAGTTATCCAATCCTGCCTTAACACTTTTCATGCAACTTGTCCAATCTTCTTACTTCTAATATTCTGTAATTCAATCATGGACATTAACAGCTTTGAAAATGTTTTTTTTTAAAATCAATCTAAAATGAAACTTTGGAAAAGGTCATTGCAAGTATAGTAATGATATATGAATGTATATGTTTTAATGGCTGGTGAGTTCCTTCCCTTTATTTTTTTTCTTCATTTTTTTTTTCATTGTTTTTGGGCATTACTTTAAGTTAGTTTATGCACAATGTTACATGGTTTGGGTAATGTGTGGAGGGGGTATTTCTGTGGAGATTTTTTAGTGAGATTGTTCACTTTTGGTATTTAGCCATTTTTGTCTTTTTTGTTTCCACTTACTCTTTAAACTGGTTTATATTTAGTTCAGTCAACAACGGCATTGAACATGTTGTTAATTGTTATACATAGACACAGAACAATTTAACATTGTATGATCATTGTATATTCAATTTAATTTACTTAATAAAATAAGTATTCATTTTTTTAACCCTTGTCAAGCAGCTTAATTTTACACACTTAATAGGCAGCATTGGTACAAAATTGTACCTTCACATATTGCGTATGAAAAGTCTTAGTGTATGTTCACTTTCTATAAGGGGTAAAGTATTTAATATATAAACATTATTTAGGTTAAATTTTGTAAAATCGTATTTATATTCAGATTGTTGATGTTATAATTGGTATTATTTTTTATAGTTACCTGCGGAATGATCCTTAATTATTTTGTGCTGTGTATTTTTTTTTTTTTTTTTTTTCAGATCCTTGTGGGTGTTTTTTCCACTTTGGATTTTTAGGTATTTTGAAATGTTCTCATTTTTTTTTTTTTTTTTTTTTTTTTTTGGGAATGTTTTTTATTTTTTTTTTTTTTTTTTTTTTTTTTTTTTTTTTTTTTTGCAGATCCTTGTGGGTGCTTATTCCACTATGGATGTTTAGGTATTTTGAAATGTACTCATATTTTTGTAAAAATAACTTAAAATTTTTATTTATATACCAGTACCAACAATGCCTTAAATACATTATATTAAGCATGTTGAATTTATAAACCAGAATTTTTAAGAGTCTATTATTAAGTATTATATTTCGAAACTGTTTGATTTATAGTGTCCTTAAAGAAACATTAAATAATAAAACAAGATGGTTTTTTTTTGTTGGCTTTGTTTCATTCAAATCTAATTTAGACATTTTTAATACTTAACGATGGAAATAACTAAAGCACCTAAACATTTGGTAAATAATTGTTTTTAATAGGCAAATATTCATTTATTGATATTTTAACCTCAATCCCTTATATTTTAACAATAATTACTTCTTTTGGACAATCATTGTTTAATAGCATTTATACTGTATTTGAAAAATGTATACATCTTCTACCACTACCCCGGCATAAACAGTATTTAAATGGATAACGGGGCAAAGTCTTTGCTTTAAATTGAAACTTTTCAATTCTATTTGTCAGATTTATATTTGATTTTTGTATTTTTAAATCATCATCCACAATCAGAAAAACTGAATGGTTTTCTGCATATATTTTGTACGGTGCATGTAATTAAACAGAAACAACCACGTTGATGTGAATTAAGTTTAATAATATATGGTAAGTGAAAATTCGCTTACATATTTTCATCAAAAATTTTAACAAAACAATTAGAAAGTCCTGACAAAAAATCAGGAAGCAGTGAAGGAAAAATGTAAAATTACGTATTTTAAATATTGTTTTTAACATAAGACTGTAATTAAATCTACTTGCAGTATATCAAAATGGAGACACTCCATTAACTGTGTGTTCAATTTGAAAAATGCAATAGATTCTTCATAAAGTAGAAGTAGATCTGAGTTCTTTTACAGATTTTTTTTTTCATTTGATAAGTAGTTAGAACGGATAAAAAAATATTTCTGGACTACCTTCAATTATCATTAACGAAATCAAATAATTATTCCTATCCTTTCAGTTCCAAAAAGAAATATAATTGAATTAAAGTCAAACATTTTGAAAAACAATATTGTTACCGGTATCAATCTGTTCGTAAGGGTCTATATTTTCAACTAGACAATTATTTTGTTCTGAAGTGAGAGCTTTTCTATATCCATTGTCATCATAATTGTCACTTTCATTGTATACTCTATGAGTCACATAAATATATCCATCGTTGGCTTCGTCATATTCATTGTCCTTCTTATCTGTACACACTGCGCATCTCAAAAGCAATTTTTTAGAATCTAAAGAGAAATCAATTAATTATGTATTTAATACATATTTTTTTAAAGTAAAAGCTTTGAAATCTTCATGCTCACAATTCTAAAAATTGGCCTATATATCATAGCATTAAAATTAAAATGTAATTTAAATAAAACAAATTTGGCAAATTTGAAAAATAAAAGAGATAATGATATACCAAATTAACTTTTGTAAAGAAATGTTTAACTATTTACACATAAGTATCTGTCTATGGCTATTCTACTTCCCATACCTTTGTATTTGCAGCTCCAAACAAGTATACATAAAATCAATATAAAGACATTTGAAGCCGAGACACAAGCTATTACTGCTGGGCCACGTAGAATTTCTAAACAGAATGATTTCAAATGGAAACGTATAATTGAAATACATGTAAATGGTCTTGATTTCAAATGAAATAGAACTAGCTGGTATTTTGGAAATGACATTCAATTTAAAAAAAAGACAGGAATGTTAGGCTACCGGCTTTTTCAGAAATGATTCACTGGGGCCTACTACCTCTAAGAACAGAAAGGATTCATAAAAGGAGTGCTCGAGTCCTACATGAAAACAAAGGGCAGCCCTTCAGGAACACAAGGGGAGTCATACATGAACACAAGGGGAGTCCTACATGAACGCAAGGGGAGTCCTACATGAACGCAAGGGAAGTCGTTCAGGAAGACAGTGGGAGTCGTTCAGGAACACAAGGGGAGTCCTTAAAGAACACAATGGAAGTCCTATAGGAACACAAGGGGAGTCGTTCAGGAACACAAGGGTAGTCGTTCAGGAACACAGTGGGAGTCCCTCAGGAACACTAGGGGAGTCCTAAAGGAACACAGGGGGAGTCCTTCAGGAACACTACGGAAGTCCTAAAGGAACACAAGGGGAGTCCTTCAGGAACACTACGGAAGTCCTAAAGGAACACAAGGGGAGTCCTTAAAGAACACAAGGGAAATCGTTCAGGAACACAAGGGGAGTCGTTCAGGAACACAAGGGAAGTCCTAACGGAACACAAGGGGAGTCCTTAAAGAACACAATGGGAGTCGTTCAGGAACACAAGGGAAGTCCTAAAGGAACACAAGGGAAGTCCTAACGGAACACAAGGGAAGTCCTTAAAGAACACAATGGGAGTCGTTCAGGAACACAAGGGAAGTCCTAACGGAACACAAGGGGAGTCCTTAAAGAACACAAGGGGAGTCCTAAAAAGAACACAAAGGAAGTCTTTCAGGAACACAAGGGGGTTTCTAAAGGAACACAAGGGGAGTCCTTGAAGAACACAAGGGGAGTCCTAAAGGAACACAAGGGGAGTCCTAGAAGAACACAAGGGGAGTCCTAAAGGAACAAAAGGGAAGTCGTTCAGGTGCACAAGGGGGAGTCCTAAATAAACACAACGGGAGTCGTTCAGGAACACTAGGGGAATACTAAATGAACACAAGGGGAGTCCTTCAGGAACACTAGGGGAATACTAAATGAACACAAGGGGATGGCCACCCACTACCTTTTAAAAAAATAAATTAATAAATCGAAGTGGCCATTCGCACCCGGGTTTCAGAAGTGAGAGGTTTGGATTAAAAAACTATTTAAAATAGTATTGTTGGGTTTGTGAGACTAAATGAGGTGTCAAATAAAAGATAATTGAATGGACGATATGTTTGTAAACTTACTTCTTCTGTTTAAAAAAACTAAAATAAACTACCACAAATGACACCCGAAAAGCATTTATTCAAAATGGACCCCGGTCCCATTAGACTCAATGATTTGTTCAATTATCTTTCAATTGATTCCTCATTTTGTCTTAAAAACCCAACAATAATATTTTAAATAGTTTTTCTAAAAAAAACCCTCTCACTTCTGATACTCGGGTGCGCATAGTCACAGCCTTAATAAATACATATTATTATTTATTGAATTAGGGGGGTGGGGGTAGCTTTGGATGACTTCCTAAAAGCTTATTTGTTATATCCTAAAAGCCTTTCCTCACAGCCATGTGAGATTGACATGATATTTTACAAAACTAAACAAAGCATGGAGTTAGCAGAGAAGACAGAGAGGGAGCTATTCCCCGTGAAGAATATTCTTTTAGTGAGGGGTGGCATTTTTTTTGTCCACTTCATATGCTTTAAATAGCTTACTTTTATGTCTAAGAATTGTCCTTAGATTTTTGTGTTCTACCTTTCGTCATGTATTTATTTTTTTATTTATATCATCTTTTTTTTTTTGGGGGGGGGGTGAGGGGAGTTGGTGGGGGGGGGGGATTAAGGAGATTGCGGTCTCCTAATTTTTTAATACCTAACGCACAATAAACGCTTGCAATCAAAAGTGCCCCTCCCCCTTTTTTTTCCCCGCTAAAATGATTCAGTCAGAACTGGTCTCTAACATCGGTCAGCTGATATTGACACAGTGCATTAGCGAATATCCTACCATTTGTATATATTGTCATCATAGGGGATCTTTATTTAGTTTTTGAAGGATTT